GGGGGGTCTTGTTGCAAAAGATGACAGCACCCAAAGTAATTATTTAAACTCAAAGTAATCATTCAAGCTATGGCTCCAATGTTATTTACGGTACAACCTTTTTTAATTGTCAGAGCAGAGCTAATATATAGTTAAATGACCATTACCCTTCAAGGCAGTGCCTTGGTAGTTGATGCACTTTTCTAACACTGCAGACCTTAGTCAAAGCACTTTTAGAAACTTTTTACAATATCCTTTTTGACATCCTTTAATAAACTACGGAAGAAAACCACTATCACTGCCCTCTACTCACAACTTGTTTTTGACTCAGAATATCACCTGGCTTGGTCACCCACCTTGTTCAGTGGATGTTGCTCCAAAGTGCTGCCTCCCAAAATCAAATCCACCCCAAAAGGACAAAAACTTGCAAGGATGTGCTCAGGCTCTGACAGCAAATCGAGAGAAGTTTGAAGCATGATGTGCCTAAGAGCAGTGTCTTTGGGTCAAGTGAACAAACTTCCAGGGGACTCTTGCAAAGTGTACAGCATTCGCTATGATGTAGAAATTCTGGTTTGCTTAAAAAAGAGGAAGAAGGCCATCACTGCTTTTCTTGCATTTGTATTTTACTCTGCCTTGATAGGGATCTTAGGTTTGGGCACAAACATCACAGGGTAACTGCAACTCAGCGCACCTGCTCAGAGCAGTTGGTTGCAAACGTTTCAGTTATAAGGCAAAGCCCAGTGAGTGCTCACCTGCCATCACTTCGAAACAACAGATCTCCTGCACAGTTCTGGAGGGCACAGGTTGAAGCCTGAGCCCAAAGGCAATGTGTCAATTTGGATCCAGAGAAAGAAAGAAAGATTCAAATCCAGCTCCACTTATTAGCAAGGAAGAGGCCCTGATCTTCCCATCTGGAAAACAGGTATAACAATATCTACCTTGGAAGGGTTTTGTAAAAAAAAAAAAAAACAGAATGGTATAGTCCTTAGAATATAGGAGACACCCAAGACATGATGGCTATTATTAAGCACTCCAGTTATAGATTTTTGCCTTTAGAGATTTTTCCCTCCATCCCTACCACCTCTTTGAATAACAAATGTTGAATTTTAGAAATTGAGAAGCTTTGCCAGTGCCCAAATTCTGCTCTAAAATGAAGTTGTACAAGCTTATATATCATGCACAGGATTCTAATTTTAATGTGTTTATTATCCCAACAGTTTAAAAGTATCTAGAAATTTTAAAACCAAGTTGTTGATACTTTATTCCTTATGTATAATCTGAACAATCACAGAATCTTCAGAAATGCCTTCTGAAGTCATGTGCTCACCACATTACATATGAGAATCTATCCTTTCCTTTCTCATTCAACAAATATTTACTGAACACTTCATATAATATTTATTTAGCACTGCGCTAGGCACAGTGAATAATAACAACCACGAGAATAAAATAGCCTGCTCTCATGAGCTTACATCTACTGGAGAAATAAGCAATGAACCTGATAACTTAAGAATATAGTATGTTATAGTGTGCTAATTACTTAAAAGGAAAATAAAATACGGAGGAGGCATAGGAAGCTTGGGTGGAGTTCATGTTTAAATAGGATGGTTAGTATAGTCCTCAGAGAGAAGATGAGGGAGGTAAAGTCGTTTTTAAAAATATCCAATAGCCATTTTAATGTTAGTCAGCCTATGTCCTCAATTTAATGAGCACTTACTCGCCTTCTCCTCGCTGATGGAAGGTCTGCTTCCTCTTCTGCCCGTACCTGGGAGAGACAGGAGCCTACTGCTCAGCTCTGCACAGCAGCCTCCCCTTCAGAAGGGGGTCTTCTGGGTGCTCACCTCCTAGCCCCAGCCCTCCACTCAGCCGCTCACTCCCCCACCTGTCTGGTCCTTTCTGAGTGTCTTCTCTGAATCTTTGTTAAGTCATTTTCATGATGGACTGCTGGCCCCTAGAGAGAAATATATGACCAGAGTTAAGTGTCTAATGGAAAATCCCAGGATAGTAGGAGTTGCCTTGTTTTTCAGCTTGCTATTCTCTACTCCTTTATCTTTTTAACAAAGTCATAATAAGTTAGTAATAATAGTCACAGTGGCCTACCATTTATTGAGCATTTAACATATGTCAGTAAAGCACTTTATATGCATTTTCTTACTTAACTAGACCAACAAGTATAAGTAAGGTAGGTACCATTGTTATGTTTGCAAAAGAAGAAACTGAAGCACAGAGAGCTTAAGTGTCTTGCTCAAAATCAGGCAGGCAAAAAATAGCACAGCCTGATTCCACAGCCCATCTTCTAATTTCTTTATGATAGTAGTCAGTTGAATTTTGCCAGTATATTTGATACCCTTGACTATGGGATACAGCTGTATTATTTAAATACTATTTATTAGGTCTCTCATACCAGGTGGAATTCCAACCTCCCAGTCTATTTGCCTGAATTCCACATGGGTTATTGATGAAGACTGACTTTAATCTTAAAAAAAAACAAATATTTTCCTTTGCCGTCTCCCTGCTCCTTGTGTTTTTAAAGAACAGTTCTTTGCCTGTTTTTGTCTTTTTATCGTATCTAAGATGCCTTTCATTTCCATGCTTTAGTTTTAAGCATGAATTTTAGAAACATTTGATTTTAGACACTATTTTTATTGGCTACTGCCACTTTACAAAGAGACGAGAAGAATTTAACCCACTACTGTATTGCTGACAATGTGAAGAACATGGAAAAATGTCTTCATAGGCATCCCTCTTGATGGTGTTCACTTGAATAGAAATATCATATTTGGCTCGTTGGCAAATCTGGAATAACTTGGCCAGAGCTTTGCAAAGCCAGGTACTCAGATTAGCTCATCCCTTCTTCCTTAGCAATTAACTTCTCTGGAAATATCCACTTGTTCAAATGATAAATGTTGAGTTGACTAAGTAGAATTGTGAATGCCACATACTTTATTACTCATGCAACCTTTATGAAGAGACCTAGCTTGAAACAACTGTGTGAATGTTTGTACTTACTTATAAACTGTAATTAGGTCCACAGACAAAAACAAGACATCGTTTCATCCATCTGAAACTTGACACATACTATTGGCATTACTCATCCAGGAAAATAGTTATGGGCTCAATGAGAGACAGGTGTGGGCAGTACAGGTAATCACTTTTTAAGGCACTGATTTCATCTCTGCTGCTGGTGCTCAATTCTAAGAAGCAGGCAACTTCAGCTCACTATAAATAAATAAAAAATTTAATGATGTGGGAACATGCTCACAATATACTGTTAAGTGAAAAAAGCAGAATACAAATCTTGAATTTGATTTCAAGTTGTTATTATATATACATATGTAAATATTAATGGAGGTAACCTTTAGGGGACAGGATATGAGTGATTTTTATGTTTTCCTTTTCCCTTTTCTAGATTTCCCGTTTTCTGTAATAAACATCTATTAATTATATGAGCCAGATGGGGGGAAATTATTTCTCTTTAACTGTGTTCAAGTTTACCTAAGTTTTCTCCATAACCCTTATCGCTGCTTCAGTCGCAATACATTTCGTGTAATAACCAGTGATTTTTATAGCAGTTGATTCTCAGAGGAGAATCACTGAACCACAGCTGAACCTTGCAAAGTCACCTTCCTCATCACTCAGACTATGTGGGGTCACATTTAGATGATTCTGACCAGATGCAAATTCCACTTCCATATTGACTCCAAAAGCAAGGCATTCCAGAGACTTCTGCATTAAACCTTTTAGAAGTCGTGCTTTAAATTTCTCTTAAAATGGAAATCATAGCTGGGAAGACATCCTAGGCTACCTAGTAGCTTTATCTGCTCATGGGAAAGATAAAGAAGTACTCAGAAATAAAGAGTGAGGTTTCCGGGAAACTTATTCAGTGTCTGAGCTCAAAAAGAAAGAGGTAGTGGGAAATGCTTGATGCTTATTAGAGGAAAACATGTTTGTAACAAGTGCAGTCAACGATTGCAAGATCTGGTTTCAAACTAAGCCTGCTGTTTTGTTATTATTGTTACCTAAATTATTATAGCTGTGCATTTTTTTTTAAATCATTTTGGAGAAGGGGGATTTTTTTTTCTGTATATCTTCTTTAATGAGCAACTTCTGTTTAAGTGACATTTTAAATTACACATAAAAATGTCAAGATTAGTCATAAATATCTATTCTTTTACTTTTTTTTAAAAACACATCTTTTAAAAAAGCAAAATTTCTATTAAGACATTTTTTTGCAAATAAATTTTAAGGTCTCAAAAATTTATCAAAAACAAAATGGTTTTTATAATTTTGAGCAAATCTATCTCTATAACATTTATTTAAAATATAAAATAAGATTGTTTTTCTCCCTATGCAATTACCGTCTTTTAAATTAATCTTCTAAATATAAAATAATGATTTTTTAAAGTGTTTTGGAAGAAAAAGATTAAATTTTAAGATTTCTTTTAGCTTTTAATTTTTGTTCATACTCAATTTACAACTTCTAAATACTTAATGTATGTTATATTTGATCCTCACAAGATCACTATAAAATAGAAAAAACCAGTATTATTATTCTCAGCAACTTCATTTTATAAATGAGAAAACTGAAGCTCAGAAAGGTTAAGCACCTTATATGGGGCCCTACAGCCAGTTAGTGAGTATAGATCCATTTACTTCTATAGCATTTCCCTACCAGAAAACAAATTACTTTTCCCTAATTGATTCATTAAAAGATTATAAGAGGTACACATTGAAGTGAGACATGTGAGAAAATCTGTTATTTTAAAAGGGTCATATATTTATAAATATAAAAAAGTGAGATGCAAAACTAAAGTGTACAGTAAAACCCTAATTTTACATAAAAAAATTTTATTCATATCTGAAAGACTAAAATAATTATATCAAATAATAATAGTGATTATCTCTGAACAATGAAATTGGAGATGATTTTTTCACTTATTTTTCTTTAATTTTATACTTTGTTTAACAATCAGTAAAGATTAATTGTATAATCAGAAAAATAAACATTACAAACTTTTTAATAAAGTGCTATAAACATACAGTTCATTCTCTTCAGTAATTCTCTAATGTATTTGGTTTCACTTCAGTTTTTGGTTTGCTGCTGGGAATTTTTTATTTTTTAATAAAAGGCAGATGTGGTTTCAACGTAATTACAAAAAAAGTAATGTGAAATCACAATGCTGAATTTTGAGGGCTTGGTTCTCGATTCTCACCCCTGTAGCAACATAGAGCAGGTTTTGAGAACTTAACCTGAGAAACCATTTCTATAGTTTCGTCTCCACAATAAATTCCAATCTTTAACTGTTCCCTTGGATGACTATCTGCCCCATAGCCATTTCTCCTTCCTTGCTAAAAGAACCTCTGTTTGGGGATGGGCAAAGTATGCCAAATCAAGAAAAGAATCATGATGTCTGGTCTAAGACAATGGAAGAGAATCTTCTGGTTCCTGGTTTCCCAGCTTCCTTTGCAGCTATGGGTACCATGTGATCCATTTTACTCAGTGAAATATTCAGAAGTCTTCTTGGGTGCTCCTGGGAAAGGTGTTCCTCACCCATTAGATCAAGGAGACAAGTCAGAAAGCATCTGTCTTCCTTTCATGCTTTGGGTGTTGTCATACCAGACTGTGATGCTCTGAGATCTCCATCAGCTATCTCAGGACAAGTGGGAAAGCCAAAGAAACTGCAGAGACATGGAGCCAGAACATTGTTGATCCATTCACCACCTCTTAATTTTTATTATGTGATATAATTAAATGTACTATCTAAGCCACAGTTCATTATTCTAATACTTGCAACCGAGCATCTTCTAATGATGGAGTAACAAAAAAAATTTGAAGTTGAAGCTATCAACATTTTACAGAATGTAAAAAAGTTAACTGATACCCAACCTACATGGCCAACAGTGTAGAATGTCATATAGAAATAGTTAGGTGCATACAGTATTATATATCAAATATATCTCAATAAAGCTGAAAAATAAAAAGAAATGATTTGGTAGGTTATTTTATTGGGAAATTTCCAGTTATTTAAAAGTAGTATTTAGGAAGACCATGGGGCCACATAAGGAGATGCTCATGATAAAAGATTATATGGGGGAAAAAGGAAAACAGGAGTTGGGATTATACATGTATTATAATTACAATAATGTTTTCAAAGTCTGTGAGGAAACTAACCAAACCACTAACAAAAATTTTCTTGGTGTTACGGAGTCCAAGCTGGTGCCTTTCACCACACAACATGCCAATTAGTCAGGAGACAAATTGTTGGGCAAGGAAAGCATCTTTATTCAGAAAGCCAACAGACCAATAAGATGGTGCACTAATGTCCTAAAGCACCATCTTAACTTAGTGTTGATTTTAAACTTTTTTTATATTAGGGAAGGGGAGAGCAGGAGGTGATGATAGATCTCAGACATCGGACATCAGAAACGGTCTGAGGAGGGCTGTGAAACTCCTTGTCCTCGGCTGGCTGACTCCAGTCATGTTGATGACATGGGTCTGGCGGTGATGTTCCTGTAAGGCCTGTCACTTTTGTACATACTTTATCTTCTCAGGGAAGTTAACTTTCAGGTAATGGGAAGGTTGTATCGATCTTAAGTCATGAGCAGAATTCCTTTTGATGATTAGCAAGCATATGTGCAGGGCTTTGGGCTGAGCAGAAGCTTTTTGACCAAAAGATTTAGGCAGCAAAGGAGACAGATACAATATGAAGGCAGAGATGCCAACTTTTTCACTCTGTTACATTGGGGTATAGGATTGCCAATAGATTGTTTTATCCATTCCTCTATTTTCTGATTATTGGGCCTCATCGGATACAATTTTTATATTAAAAATATAAAATAAAGTAACTCCTATAGACAAGCAATATAAATCCCTGAAAGAATTCATATCAAATGTAAGAAAATATTTGGCTCCCTATTGTCAAACTCAAATTTCCCAGCTGGACTTTCAAAGCCCTTCCTAATATGGCCCCTGCCCACCTTTGTAGCCCCATCTCCCACCACACACCCTGTTCCAGCCACAGTGAATACTCTTTCATGCCTTCATGCATATTCTTGCCTCAGCCTGAAAAGCCTTTCTTTACGTGCAAGGTAAACATTGGTGGTTGTGGCTGAGACTGCTGGTTATTCTCCAAAACCTCTTTCCTCAGTAATAGAAAATAATTTTCAACTTAAGTTGAAATTTTAAGCCCAGGTTAAGGGTTACATGTCTCAGCCTCCCTTTCAGTTGGATGTAGACATGAGGCTTTGTTCTGGCTGCTGAGGTGTGGGCAACATCGAAGAATAGAGGAAGAAGTGCTCTCTTTGTCCATTTCTTCTGAGATGCTTAAGTTGGAGCAACCAATCTGGACCATGAAATGAAAGCCAAGAGTTGAGCTTGGAAGAACAAGTTAGAAGAAGGCTGAGTCCCTGAAGATTGTGTTGTTGCCTCACAAGCCCTGGAGCACCTACCACAGGGTTTCATCTATGTGGAAGAGAGAAATAGACCCCTATCTTGCACATTCCACTGTTGTTTTGGGGTTTTCTGTCACATACAATCTAACCTAATCCTAACTAATATATTAATTTGTGACAGAGGCTAGTAGAAAAACGCTTTCAGAAGAGGCATGACAACAGTATGACTGAATTGCTATCTAGAAGAAATGAACAGAAAGTTGGGAATTTGGGGCTGGCATGCACAGGAAAACAGGCTGAAGAAGAGAGAGGAGGTTAGCAATGATAATCCAGGGCCACCAATGACTATTTGGGAGAGAGGATGGGGGAAAGATTTGGCCAAAGAAGTTTTAAGATGAAAGATGACTACAATTAAATATTAAGTCACCTACAGTACTTGGTTACAATGTAATTCTCTAATGTAACCACCGAATTTTAAATATGTTTAATATACACAACACCCTGGCGTGAGCAGATGTTTTGGAAAATCAACAAAAAGGGGTCAAAGCAGAGTAAAACAACTGTAGAAGTAAAATGTCAAAAGGCTAGACACTGGAAATCAGAGCTTATAATAAACATAAGCTTCCCCAAATCTCCATAAAAATGGGTAGAAATGCTGAATTTCCCACTCAATATGGAATTTTTAGAGCCAATGTGGTACATATATTAGCATGTTTAATGACAGATACATATATATTTGCACCTCTTTTTTTGTTTACAGAATGTGTCATGCTAGACATATTTCTTTGCAGTTTACTTTTGTTTTGGTTTAATCAATCAATATGCCATGGACATCTTTCCAAATAGGTTAACTTCACCTTTTAATAACAGCATAGTATTCCATTAGATGGAAGTACTCTGATCAATTTAACTAGTCTATATTGATGTAAATTCATTTTTTTTCTATTGCAGAAAGTGCTATACTTGTCCAAACAATGTAACACTTGAATGCAATTGTGCATGACCAATTAAGTACTCCTGTGGATAAATGACAGGTCAAGAGACTGCACAATTTTGGAGTAGATGTATTTTTTATTGCAATAGCTATTACTGAATTACATTCCAGAGAAGCCCACCAATGATGTATGAGAGCATCTATTTGCCTGTACTCTCACCACTAAATACTACAAATCTTTTTCTTTTTGTTAGCTGAAAAGTGGTATCACACTAATTATTAGTGAGCTTGAACATCTTTTCACCATATTTGCTCTATTTGTATTTCTCTGAAATGCATGTTTATATCCTGTGTCTATTTTTTCTATTGCATTCTTTATTATTTTCATATTAACTTAGAAAAATTGTTTATAAATTAAAGATATCAATAATCTATGTATATTTCACAAAAAATATCTCTCGGTCTGTCGTTCATCTTTTAATTTTCTTCATAGTGTCTTTGGCCATGCCCAAGATTTTAATTTTAGACATTGTTTAGAAAGACTTTACCACTCTAAAATGTAAACGATATTTTCCTATATTTTATGATCATTTTTTTCAAAATTACATGGCAATAATGTAACAGTTAAAAGTACAACTTCTCCCACCAACCTGCCTGAGTTCAAGTCTTAACTATGCTGTGTAACTTCAGGAAAGTTTCTTTGTGCCTTGGTTGACTCAGCTTTAACTGGGGATATTAATAGCATCTAAACTTCATAGGACTGTTATGAGGATTAAAGAGTTAGTACATACAAGATGCTTAGAACATGCCTTGCAACCCAGAAAATTTCAGTGAATATTAGCTACTATTATTTTGCTGTGTCTTAATGACAGTAGTTTCCCAAAATATTTTAATACCTAATATGACCCATAAATAAACACTCCAGAAATACATCCTATCCTTACAAATGATCTTAATCTTCCTGCCACCTGCCTATACCAGTAAAAATGAAACTGTAACTGAAGGCAGAAGGAATGAGAGGGGCAGGGTGCCATGCAAATCAAATAGAAATACCAGCTGCAAACACTCAACAAGCTATAAGCAAATAGAAAAACATATGGTAGCAACTATATGTTTCAGCTGTGGGTCTTGCCCTGACACCTCCAATATGGGGAGGTTGGAGGCCTGGGTAGTGCTTAGCTGAAGCTAAGCTAAGCACAAACAGCAGCTGCGCAAACCTGTCTTATCCCAGCTGAGACAAATGTGCCTTTCACATTCAAAAGAAGCTTGTCTTGTATATAGTTAGCCGACAGTTAGCAACTCTAAGGCATAGTCCTGGGCAACTTTACATTGCTATTCAGACAGCCTGATGGATGTCCTTGTTAGACATTGAACCTGAGAGACCAAGATTGTTCATTGTTTTTACAGGGCTAACATGTGTGCCCATGTTTTGTTTATCATCACTGAAATCTACCAGAAAGGCACATGCTGCCCCAGTATAGCCAGTTCTTCTTATGATTCTTTTTTCTCTTCCATATCTATGAGTACCTTTTTTGGCCTAAAAAATAATTTTTTTTCTTTTTCTTGGTGAGTCTTACAAGAGTTTTCTCTCTAACATTTATATATCTTGAGGAACAGCTTTTGGCTTTATGTATCAACTCTTGTTATATTTTACTTTCTAATTTATTTTATCTATTTCTGATTCTTACCTATCTCATTTGCATTGACACTGACAGGAAACAGAATGGTAAAGATGGCTTTTAGATTGTCCTCATTTCTGAGCAAACAATCTCCGTTACTTTCTTTGATTTATTTTGTTGTTTTCTGGTTGCTCAAGTTAAATATTCAGTCTTTTTCTTTTCAGCTACTCTCATTTCATAATAAAAGCATTTAGTTGTGGCTTTTTTTTTTAAATTTCCAAGGACAGGTGACCAGAGCAGACAGCAAGGCTACAAATGATGTATAAACTTAGAGTTGTTCTCTCAAAAAAAGGCCTGTGTGCCAGATAACTGCAGAGAAAATGGTAGACTGTTAATATTGAGAACAACCTTAAGGAGAGTCAAAGTCCTATGCTGTTCAAATGAGAAATCTGATGCAGATAATGATATAATATGTCTGATATTAAAAAGCCAGACATCCTCACACTAGGTCTCCGCTCTAGTTGAGCAAGAAGTATTAAAAAACAACGTAATGGAGAACTACTTCTTTCCCTATTTCCTTTCTCTCTGCATGATAGTACATCACCTAGTATCCCACAAAGAATCTAGTAAACTTTCCTTTCATAATCAACCCAAGCTCAAAATACTGTGCAAATTCTGTTTTCAAAGTTGAGCTTCAGCTAAGCACTATCCAGGCCTCCAACCTCCCCAAATTGGAGGAAAATTCTGGAAAGCAGAAAAACAAAGTCTACTGTTGGTGACATCTACTTTGTGAATTCTAGATGCAAGCACAGGGAGCTTTAATAATTAATGAACTCAGTGGGAAAAAGTATGTAACAATTATTTGGGCATTTATTACGGTTCTGATCCTTCTGTTTTCTCCCAGTAACCACAGAGTGACCTTATGGCCTTAATTTAATCCTGCAGTTCTTAACCAGAGCTTGGGGAGAGGTGGAGTAAGCCTATCTGCACCACCTTGGGAGTTTTTGTCAATATTATACACTCTCCACTCCTGGAATGATTTACAGTGATCTAATCAAAGAAGAGGGAAGACAACAAGAGACGAAAAGGAATCTAGGAATCTAGTTTGAAAACAATTCAAAATGAGGACAGATGTTCTGTGAGGAAAATTTTGATTAGCATGAATGTCCAACAACAGAAAAATAAATTATATTACAGGCATCCATATTGTGGAGTATGTTTATAACTATTATAATTACTTTTAATAACATGAGGAAAGATGTGTAGTTTAACTTCCATTGCAAAGTGCAGGATACAAAAATATATACATAATATCTCAACTATTTAAATGTTTATGTACACAACAAAAAGGTTGAATGGGAAAGTCATCAAAATGTTAACAGATTTTTGTTTTGAATGGGATTAGTGAAGAGTTTTTAAATTCTTTTCTCTTTATACCTGTCTTTGTATTTCCAGTGTTTTTCTCAGAAGCATTATTGCTTTTACAATCAGAAATAGATCAAGAAAGGTTTTATAGGTAAAAACTTCAAATCTGTGCTTTCTCTTTTTTAAAAATCAGTTCCAGAGAGAGAAAAGAAATAAGAAAAGGAAAATAGAGAAGGAAAGGGAGGGGAGGAGAAGAGAAAGTTATAACTTAGAGAAAAGGAAATGTTGGTTTACCAGTAGGGGTGATACTCAAAATCTTTAATGCGAGTCTGGTCCAGGCTCCAGAGCAAGAACAATTTGACTACAGCTAACTGGTTCACTTACGCCGGTGTACTCCCACTGCATGTCAGATTGTTTTCAGGCTCCCTTTAGAAGGGAGGTGTTGCTGGGAATATCCTGACCATCACTTTGAACCTTTGAATACACTGTCTCCTTGCACAGAGCGCATTTCCCTCTATCTGCCTCTGTCAAAACCCTGCTCAGGTGTTTTGTCTTCCATGAAGTCTTTCCTGGCTATCCCAGTCAAAATACACTTCCTTCTCTGTTCCCCACACCTCTAATGCAGTACTTACAATAAACACTTCCTCAGGGAATAGCAATTATGTGTCCTATTATCTTATCTGCTAGTCTATACAGCCCCGGCAGGGCAGGGGCTGTATCTCACAGGACCTAACATGGTAGAAATCACATTTGAATCCTCATCCATCTATTTTAGCAAGGATGATATTATTATTGACTCTGTCATCACAGGGTACCTTCCAAAAAGTTCGTGGGGTTAGGGTAGCCAATTGCCTTTTGCAACTTTGGGTTGCAGATTTGCTCACATACAGGACCTGAACAGCTTACTGAGGTGGTAAAACAGACAGGTTTCCTAAGTCAGCCCCTCTGAAAAGAGAGGGGAGCTGGCCTAATTGCAATGGAATTCCTTCTACTGATGGTGAGAGTAGAACTAGATATACATGAAAATGCTCCTTTTTTTCTGGGGGCGAGGGAGAGAGCAGGAGGGAATGGGGAAGCAAAAAGGCTACATCAGGGAGGTGTCATCTGGATGTACTCTCAGAGGTACCTATAGGGAATACTGGGTGATGCTTTTGCAAAAAGACAAAAAGGTTGCAGTGAAATAGTCAGTCACAGACTTAAGCACAAAATCAAACCCACTACATTAGTTTGCTAGGGCTTCTGTAACCAAGTACCACAGACAGGGTGGCTTTAAGTTCAAGGTCAGGGTGGTGGTAGGGCTGGTTCCTTCTGCGGCCTGTGAGGGAAAGGTCTGTTCCAGGCCTTTCTCCTTGGCTTGTGGATGGCTGTCTTCTGTGGTCTCTTCATATCATTTTCCCTCTATGCATTTATCTCGCTATCTAAATTTCCCTTTTTTATAAGGATACCAACCAGTGTATTAGATTAAGGCTCACCCATATGATCCCATTTTAACCTGATCACCTCTGTAAAGAGCTGAATAAGATCACATCTGGTAGTGTTGGGGATTAGGACTTCAACAAATGAATTGGCAGCAAGGGGGCCGGGAGACAAAATTCAACCTATAATACCTACTCCCAGTTTAGGGGATAATCCAAAACCAAACCTAGACATCATCAGACAGGCTTGAACTGCTTCTCTGGCCATACTGCATGGGAACTGACGCCCAGCATTATCCCTGGGAGCAAAGGTAGCAGAAACACAAATCATAGCAGCAGTAGGTGAGGTACAAGACAGCACTCATGTTGCCAAGGAGGCTGGCGATCTTCTGGAGCTTGGCTTCTGTTTTTCTGTCTAGCTTCTGGCAGCAGGGATAGGCCTGCCACAAACAGTGACAATGACATATGTCCTGGTACTTCAGTCTGGAGGGCTTTGCATGGGCAGAAGAGAGCCTGAGAAAAGTAGAAGTACAGTCCTTTAAATATGCAACCCAGCAAGATAGGCTAAACATATCTAAATGTCTCTACCCAACCCCAACATAACTGATTAAATCATAAAACTGGACACCACTGAGTAAAATACACTAATCTGCTTTCACCGCAATTAAAATTGAAGTCACAAATATGTTTCAAAAAATAATTAAATATGTGATAAATATATTTTACATCACTATTCCCTAGTTTCAATCCTTTTCCAAAATACCAAAGAACTGACATACAAAAGACATCACAGAATAAAATGAGGATATTTTAAATATAGTTACACTGTCTTAAATGGCCCATGACACATTAACACAATCATTTAAATTAATGCATAACTTGATGTAGTGAACAGGAAATTATCTCATTTGGAAGTATCTCGCCGAAACGATAGACCACAGAAAATATATATAGTCAACAATTTCCAGTTAGAGCACAAAAATGGATGAGGACTGCTGAGCTCATATATGTATCCTTACTAGAAGTCTACATAGTTCATTTTGTTTTATTTGTAATCTTTAAATATATTACCACAATGAACAATTACATTGAGATGGTAAGTGTGTATAAGTGTGTACAGTGGGTAAGGAAGAAAAAAATCAATTTAGAGATTAATGATTGAGGGTGGATTGCAGTGAAGATTCCAAGTAATCCAGTTGCTAAAATTTGGTGTAAAAAAGAAAAAGTGGTTCCCTTTAAACCTCAAAGGTATCTGGTTAATGTTCTGAAAAATACATAAAACTTTATCTACTACACTCTCTCAATGTTAGTTGTGCAGGATTCATGTGCTGGTTTCTGACCTCTAGTGGTAAAGTTGTAATAAGGTCCTCAAATATACTCAGTTCTGAATTACTGCTCCCACTGGGGAGAGAATCCATCTATAAAGGATTAAAAGGAGGGTAGTTATCCACAGTTACAGATGGCATTGGTCTCTTTGACCCTTGGTGGTTCTGGGATATTAGTGAACTCATTGGCTGACTTCCACGTAAACACTGATTTTAAGCCTATTCCAGCAAGCCTTATTCAAGAACTCCAGACAAAGCAATAGTCCTTGGGTTTGCGTTCAGACTCTTTTCTTTTCCTCTCTCCAACTTCTTCAGAGTACTGGTGATAATAAGAAAACCCAAAAACAAGCAAGCAAAGAAAGGAAAGGATAATCAGTGCCCATATAAGGTGCTAACAAAGGCAAACATCCAAAAACAAAAAGCAATACCGATACACCAAGGGGAATGATTTGGACATCAGAAAAAAGTCCTTCCACTATCACTGATAACTAGCCTTAAAATTCTGAAACCATAAAATGGATATAACCATTGCCCCCATAGGTCAGACATTACACTTCTAAAGAGAAAGTTTGCCAACACAGTATTTTTTTTTTAATAACAGCAGAGCAAATATAAAATTTGGGGATAAGCATCTTTTTCAAGAAAAACAAAATTATTTCCCTGATGATAACAGGGCCATAATTTGATTCAAGTCTATTTCTGATAACGTAGGCGATGAAATTGGAAATTCTTCCATCTTAATTATAAGAGCTCCATAAAGATAGTGCTGCTTCTGAAGCTCACTACCTATGGTTCATATGATATCCCTTTCCATTGTTCTAAATTTTGTCCTTCAGAATCCACATACACATGCAGTATTACCATACCCACTCTCCATACTTTTATCTCTGCTACTAGCACTTTCTTGTATTTGTAAGTATGCAGGTAAGTATGCCTATACTTTTATCATTGTTTACCTCTGTTCTCCATCTAGTCCTTCAACCAAAGTACCTGTTTATCTTTGCATAACCTTCTTCCTGTTCATAAAATCATAAATACATATATCAGAGTTGTCATTAAGGTGCTATAAAAATAGAATTATATTGTATACACTTTTCTGATTTTATTGTTTGTTTGCTTAACAAAAATACATTGTGAAATGCCCTCAAAGTTAACTGGTATGGATCTGTGGCAAATTGTATTTTCCAAAAATAGCCACAACAATATGTCCTGTTGCTCTTCCAAAACTTCCTTCTCTATATAAAAATCTGTAGTCTAGTCCTACTTCTTGAACCTGGGTGGGTCTGCAACTGTCTTGAAAAACAGAAGAGTGGCAGAAGTGATGCTATTGAGTTCTAAGACTACGTCAGAGAGGATGGTACAGTTTCCACTATTCCTCTCCTCTTCTCCTCTCCCTCCTACTACTTCCTCATTTTCTCCTCCTCCTCCTCCGTTTTCATTTCTGTCTCCTTCTCCTTCCCTCCCTCCCTCCTCTCCCCTGGCCTCTCTCTCTCCCCCTGCCACCACTCTCTCCAAGCTGCCATGTTGGGAGGGAGCCCAGGTTACATTGGGAGTCCAAATGTAGACGTTCTGGCAGACATTTCTAGTTAAGTTTTCAACCAACAGCCAGACTGCTGAACATGTGAGTGAATGAGCCTTCAGATAACTCCAGATCCTTTCCATCAAGTCCCCCTCAGCTTTCTTGTCTTCCAAATTAAGCCTCAGACACCATGGAGAAGACAATCCATTTCCATGGTGCCTATAGTCTCTGCTGAGCCTTGTCCAAATCTCTGACCCCCAGAATGCATGAGCATGGTAAAATTGTTTTCTATGTCAGTAAGTTTTGGGGAAATTTTGTTACATGGCATAGATAACTGAAACAGGATTAACTCGTCCTTTCTAATGGCTATATCATGTTTCAAAGTATGGCTATAACACACTTTAATCATTACCTTTGCAAGGAAATTCACCTGTTTTCAGTTTTTTGCCACTATGAACATTACCACAATAAATATTCTTGAATATATATTTGAGGTTTATGCTTTTATTTCCCTAAGAATTATAGAGTAGAATTGCTGGATTAAATATGTATTTTGATTTTTACCTATTTTTTCAACCCTCTGATTCACAAGGGGTTTGTCTTTTGGGGGTAGGGAGATTTATCTTTTCTATTTTCTACATTTCATTAATATAAACCTTTCTTATTATAATTCTCTTCTACTGTCTTTTATGGTTCCTTTTCTGATTATTTAAGGTGAACATTGAGTTCTTGTATTTCTAATCTTTGTCTAACCCTAACCCTAACCCTGTCTGCACACAGCTTTCATTAGATCTTGTAAGTTTGGTTATGTTGGGTTTCCCTTTTTTGTTTTAAAGATCTTACAATTTCAATTTTAGTTTCTAATTTGATTCAAGGATTATTTAGGAGGATAGTCTTTAAGTTTCAAATAATTGGTTAAATTATCTTTTAAATTTTATTTGTAATTTCATCAATTTACTTCTAATTTTAACAGATAATGTGACCTAGAAAAGTCTCTACTTTTATTTTTATGTGTGCGGCAAAAATATTTTTGTGTATGCCTGCATATATATGTAGTCTGTTTGAAGAATGCAAGATTCTGTGTATAATTATTTAAGCATATGTGTTGGTTACATTAGCCTTTGTATGTTCTTTGTTATTTTTTTAGATCTGCCTAGTTTTGAAAGATGTAGAGGAAAAATCTGCTGTAATTTCATTAAGATAGCCTTACATTGTTAATAATCTTTTGGTTTATATATATTTAGCTATTATGTTGTTTGGTACATATCTTCATACATTATGACTTTTATAAGCAACGTTCTTCTTCATTCTGTTCATTAATAGTTCCACCTGTCTAATGTTAATATTCTCTCTCCTAGTTTTAATTTCTTTACTTGCATTTGTGTGATATTGCTTTTCCAATCTCTTTATTTTAGGATATTTCTTTATTAAGTGTGCTTCCTATGGACAACATATAGGTGGGTATGCTTTTAATCTAATGTGACAGTCTCTTTCGATAGAAAATTTGAGCTCATTTACATTTAATACAATCACTGATATTCTTGATTTTACCCCTTCTCTTTTGCTTATGCTTACAATTGAACTTATTCTTATTTCATTTAATTTATATTTACCATATAATTATAATTCATTTTTCCCCACTTTCAAGATATGCTTTTCCATTCCACTAGTTATCTTTTATAGCATATATCATCAAACATGTATTTTACTACTATTCTGTGAAAAGATACTATTTCCTCACTCTGTTATTCTACTTTATGATACTTTCCCTCCACCTCAATAAAATAATACTTCTGAAATGCTTTTACTTTCCACTTCCCTTCTCCCAATTCCACCTCTTGGATTTTGCTGAGAAATTTTGCAGCTTTACTTCCAGGCTCTCATTAGGTATTATTTTTCTTAGGAGTCTTTTATGGTGCACGTCCCTAGGCCCATGTATATCACGGGGCTTATTGGTCATTCACCACTTTTTCCTTTCCACTTCACCTTCTCCCTTCTTAAGATCTCTATTCCCATCAATTTGGTGTTTTGAGTCCTCTTTTCATAGTTTCCTTGGATGGACTATATGGATGACATGTTCTTAGAATCCTTACATTTTTGTGTTCCTTTCACCCTGGCTTGTTGCTAGGCTGGAAAAATACCTCTCAGGTTGTGTTCCTTTTCTTTCAATAGGTATAGATATTATTCCTCTGTCTGATGCAAGTCTGATTCTTTTTCCTTTTTAAATAATTTCTTCTTTCTGTCTAGAAATGTATAAGATTTTTCTCTTCAGTCTTGGGATTCAGGAATTCCATCAGGATATGTTTAAGTGTGTACCTTTTCTTATCAATCCTGCCTAGAACTTAACAAGCACTTTTAAATGGAAATACAAGTCTTCGTTAGCTCAGGAAATAAGTTTGGCTTTTCTCTTGTAATTCACTCTGGAGTTCCTATTACACACATATGTGTCCTATATCTCTCCTGCCTTCTTCCAGTAGTTAAAGTAGTCACTTCTGGGTTTGAAAAGGTATATTAGTGCTTTTCCTGATAATAGTGAATCATTACATATATGAGCTAAATTATCTGATTACATTTGGACTCGAAAGCAGCCCCAAGTGAAGTATAATAATACAACTTGCACATGATAATTCAATCAAGCATGATACTTTTCACTGTATTTTAAAATATGA